AGCTGGACGTAGTTGTCCTCACAGCGGCCAGCCAGGAGCTCCAGGTGCAGCAGCCCCGCGGGTGAGTGAGGGGCCAGCCCCCACCCTGATGCTCACACAGGGTGCATCCCGGCAGCACCAGCCGCCCCCCGGCAGACGCGGCGAGGGGGTGCACGCCCACGACAGGAGAGGGCAGATAGCGAGGCCCGGAGAGCCACAGTTCTGAGACTGTCCATGTTGACTCTCTTTTTAATTTTTTTAAATATGTTTTTATTGATTTTGGAGAGGAAGGGATAGGGAGAGAGAGAGAAACATCAATGACGAGAGAGAACAGTTGATCAGCTGCCTCCTGCACGCCCCCCACCCCACGTGAGGATCGAGCCCACAACCCAGGCATGTGCCCTGACCAGGAACCAAACGTGACCTTCGGGCTCACAGGTCGACACTCAACCACTGAGCCTCACCGGTCGGGTTGACTCTTTAAATCAATGGACAGCTGGACAGAGGTGTGTCCACACGTTGGTGGCCTTCCCCTCAGCCGACCAGTAAAACCGTGTCTCTTCCCATTGCCGAAGCTTCCTCCTATTCCCCAGGCCACTGGGCCTTCCCCTCACACACAGGCCAGCGTAGGCCGTCGCACCCAGCCCCCGGCAGACCTCGCAGCGGCCGGTCCCCACGCGTCCCCGGAGTCAGAGCCACGTCTGCCAGCCTCCAGGGCAGCAGGCGGCTCCGGGAGGATGCTGGCTGCTTAGCCGTCGGGCTCGCTGCCCGGCTATCTATCTATCGGGGAGCAAGTCTTGCAAAGGACCGGCTGGGAGCGGGGTGGTCATTGCTGGATTCCCTCGCAACCCCGTCCTTGGGCGAGGCTGCAGGTCTGTTCCGCTCTGCTTCCTCCTCGCGGCGGCCGAGAGCCGCGTGGGCTCTGCCTGGGGCCCAGCCTGGCCTGGACGCTTGTCGCTGGGGCGGTCGAGTCCAATCAGGTTAACTCGAATGGAACCGAGTAGCAGAGTCCAGCTCCCCAGGCTGGGAGGGGCTTCAGTCAGTGTGTCACGGAGACCAGGGCCGGCCTCCCAGCAGAGCAGGCGCAGACAGCAGGCGTGTCTCCGCAGGCCCTGCCTCTCGGGCTCCCTGGTCTCCCTGCGCTGCCTGGGTGAGTACCCCTGGGGGGGTTGCGGGGAGGCCATTGCGGGCACGAAGGAGGGCCTGGTGCTCATCCTAAACCTCTCAGACTCCGAGTCTCCTCTGGTTTGTCCCAGCCTCCTCTCTGGGCCCGTGCTCCTGCGAGCGGTGGGCATGGAGATGCCCCTCCGTCCGCACGCCTGTCCTTCCCGCTCAGTGCGCTGAAGGCACCCAGGCTTCGGTCCCTCACCCTCCCTGAGGGGCCGGAGGTCTCGCTGCTGAGAGCCTGACCGTGGCAATGAAAGGCTGGCCACGGCCACCTGACCTCCGAGAGGAAGCTCCTCCGGGGACAGTGGCCAGGGGCGGCGCCCAGAGGGCAGGGATCGCGTCTGTCTGTCTGTCTGTCCATCACTCTCTGCTCAGCTGCCTGAGGCACAGCAGACACTGGTGTACGGGCTCAGATGATTTGGGAAAATGGGGAGGAGCTCGTGGCGCACAGGCAGGGCCTGCCTGGAACAGACCAGGACTGGCAGCTCAGGGACTTCCAAGCGCTGGATGTGCTCCGGGGAAACTTTATGGGACCGCGGGCGGCTGCGGGGAGCTAGACCCTGCCCGGCAAACCGAGGGGCTGTTCACTGCTGCTGTCCCGAGGGCGATGGTGTTTGGAAGTCCCTGGCTAGCGGGCCCAGGAGGGCGGCCTGTCTGTGAGAGCCGCGTGGGGGGAGCCGCGTGGGGGGACCCGCGTGGGGGAGCCGCATACAGTTCGAGGACTGAAGAGGCTGAGAACAGGGCAGCAGGATGGCAGGTTTCTTTTTTTTTCCC